CGGGGCTGTGATGAGCTTCGTCTGGCTTCGGCTAGTACCGTGACGGTTGTTAATCAGCGTGGGCTCGGTCGGTTTTTAAGATGTGTTTGTTCCTTTCCGAATCTCTCAAAACGCAGTTTTGAGCGCGGTAGGATGGGCAACTAGAGCGCGGTGTGTTTATAATAATGTAAAAGCAGGCCTGGCGTGGGCACCCAGCAAACCTGTAGAGGTTCAGAATGAGTCAGGAGGCTTGGTGTCTGCAGTGATTCCTGCAGAAACGTTTCCGTCCCATACCACTAATTAAGGGCAAATTATTCTGTCTGTAATTTGTAGAAAAGGCCTGTTCTAAAAATGCAAATGCAGCTCTACAGAGAAATTCCAGTTGTGCTTATAAAATCAAAACCAAACAGTCCTGCTTACCTAAGAACCTGGTTCTGCTACTATTTATGCATAGTATTAAACTTGAATATAGCAATAGCTTTTTTTGGGGACAACTTGTGAGATTTCAGTCTTGAACATACGTGTGGGATAGTTCTAGTTCCTGTTCGAGAGTTGCAGGATACTTTTACTGGTTATTAGTGTTCCTACTACACCATAACGAAGAGTGAATCATAAGGTAGTCTTTCAATTGAATTTGTATGAAATCATGGAAATTACATTTTAAAAGTGTCATTCACAGTCTCTTAATTATGGATTCTAAAATGATTCAGCATGAAGAGGCTTGATCAAATATGGTACACTTTCATGATCTAGTTCTTATATCGTAGGACCCAATTGTGGCGTGAACAGCGAGATGTATTCATAGCATATCTGTAAGATAAATGTGTGATATTCACCAAATTTGCATTTAATTCATTTTGTACGTTTCTCTTTGCGTTGCCTTTCTCTTCCCGAGTGTGTTACTCAGGCTTGCTCATTTTACAAACCCAGGTTTGTAACCCGGGCGTCTTGAGTGGGTATTTCACTTCTTTGGGCAGGGACATGCCCTGTCTTGCGCTGATTAAGCCATTGCAGATGCACCGCTCGATCTGTGGTGTTCGCATAAGGCTTTCTATTTTTTAAAGTTACGAGAAATTTTAATGTAGTTCCCACTCCTTGTTAATCCAGTTCACGCCAGCAAGTACCGCAGACCCCCTGGGTGTGAGAAGGGGAGGGCTGACTGCCTACACCTGCAATGATACTGCATAGCTGGAGTATCTGTGTAGTTGGTTGGTGGTAGAGCCCCTGTACCTCATCCTGTGTTTTGATGGGTCTGGAAACTTTGTCTGCCCTATCTTTCCTTTCATTGATATTTCATGAATGTTGAAGCATGCTGTGGCACCGTGCTCATATTCTATTCTATACCGACGGATTGCCCTGCCCACAAAAGTCCGTACCAGTAAAACATCTCACGTGTATAAGGGATGCGGAAAGGGAGGGAGGGCAAGATCTCCTGGATCTGCTAAAAGAAAAGTTTTTGAAATGTCTTTGACGTTGGATAAAATCACTGCGGGCCAAATAGATGTTAATCTACTTGTGTTAATCACAAACATATTTAGCCAACCTGGTATGCAGCTTAAATAATGATGGTGAGGACCAGCCTTTCTGGGTGATGGCATTGCTCAGCTTTTGTAGTTGGACAGAGGAATGTTTTTCTAGTTAGCCAGGCTGAAGTGGATAGGCTGATGGAACAGGAGGTGATAGCGTGGGTTTGTGTGGTGAATTTTAGAAGCCCTTTTTAAATTGTTTTGGCCATATTGCTGTGCTGTGCTGACTCATAGTTGTCTCAACCTACTTTTCACCAATATGTAAAATAAATCCAGATATGGAGACTGATTTCATGAGCTTGTTAAATTCTGGCTTACTCTTATTAGAGTAAAAAACCTGTTCTGTGGAGTTTGAGTCCTCAGTTGCTTTCCTTTAGCAACAGCATTAACTAGCTCTTTAAATGCAATTATGAGGGGAAAGAATGTTTAGTTTTGCAATGGTAGCGTTTTCACACAGGTCATTTTCCCATCTTGCACTGTCTCATTCCAACAGCGTGTCCAATATTTTTGGCATTCAGAGTTGAAAATAGTGAACAATGGAGTCTTGGGTATATCCATAATGTGTTTCCTTATTAAGCCTTAGTTTTGTGTGGGATTATCAACCTACAGTTTCTTTTTGACTCCTGTTTGTGCTGAAGTCCAATTGATTTACTTCTTAGTTTTGCTTATTTCAATTTACATGGAAGTTTAAATATCCCAACATATGGGAAATTATATTTTTAGTTCAGTGTATTTAAAAAAACAACCAACCAACCAAAAAAAAAAAGACAATTTACACACTACAGGAATCATGGCTCTGGGGTGGAAAGTGTTAATATTAAAATAGAGATGTAATTGTACTAACTGTATGTGGATTTTTGCCTTGCCATTTTTAACGTTGAATTCCCTCTGGTGTTGTTTATGGACCCTTAAAAATATTTTAAAACAGAATACTTCAATTTACATAATTATAACTTATTTCAGTAAAATCAATGTATAATGTTACTGACAAGCAAAGTGGAGATAGTTTTATGAGGCTTAAAAGAACTAAGCATTTTCCAGGACACATGATGCCAATATGTTTGCTGCTTTCTATTTGTTTTGTCCTGTTTTGCAGGTGGAACTTGACGTCTTGTGGAACGAGTGTAGCCAGCTCAGAGTGCAGTGAGGAGCTGTTCTCATCGGTTTCAGTTGGTGATCAAGATGACTGTTACTCTCTATTGGATGACCAGGAGTTCACCTCTTTTGATTTGTTCCCCGAGGGTAGTGTCTGCAGTGATGTCTCCTCTTCTATCAGCACATACTGGGATTGGTCAGACAGTGAGTTTGAATGGCAGGTAAACTAGTTCCACTGTAAATGTAAAATTTTGTATAGACTGTTGAAGTGCTGGGTTTAGCTTTAATTGGAAAGTCCTCAGCATTTGTTTCTTGGTAACTACTGAACGTAAGAGCAGATATCTGAATCTTCAGCATTAAAGAAAATGTTTTGTTCCATTTTATTCCAGAGTTCTTAATCTGGAGAAGAGACTGAAGGTCAGCTCTTCAAAGAGGGATGCTTACATATTATGGTAGTTTGGTTTTAGTGACCAACGTGTGTCTTGTAGCCATGAGCTTAGATCGTTTGTACTGAGGATCTGCCCTGCTGCTGAAATCTGGTTATAGATATCTGCTTCCAGTGATTTGGTCGTATTAAATCTTCCTTTGGAATGGAGCTGGCACCTAGGTAAAGTGTAGAAGCTCTTGCCATAGCCTATTTCCAGCTTTTTTTCTGTGCCAGTAAGAGTACAGAGCTCACTTTGTCTCACCAGGATGGGAAAAGTGTGAAGGTGAATCACGTCCTCCTTTTTCCTAGTCTGTATTGGATGCAGTCCTGGTCAGGTATCTCTCGTCTGTGGTAGTCTTTGTTCAGCAGTTTTTCAGTTGTGATATGCAAATCTTTTTATATGTTATAGACTTGACTTAAATCAACTGTGAATGTTGAACTTTGAAATAGGAAACGTGATGCTTCAGAATATACTGAGGAATACTTTTACATTTTGTCATAAAGCTTAGTCAAAGCATGTACAGAGTCTTCTAAGCGCAGTATAAGGACTGAAAACACTGATTTCAAGAAAGCGCAAATCCTGTTTCAGAAGATGCAAATGAGCTTAAGATAACATGGACTGAAATCAGCTCTGAATTTCTTACTGTTTTAGTCTAACTGCTAGTCTCTATGTGCGTTGTATCACAGAAGTTACAAGTGCATTTGTATAATGCGGCCGTAGGAACAACTCAGATTGGATCTCAAAGATTCAGAGCTTCGCTGAGTTGTGAATTTTTCATTGCCTGATAAACTCGGCGATTGTTTTGAACAGAAGCAATTTCCCATGTCTTAGTTAGCTGACGGCATGTTTGACTAGTAACTAGCCTTTTTTTGTTATTCTTTGTTTTTTAAAACAAGCATTTCTTAAGAGACGTGCTTGATTGGACTTGTAGAATTTTGGAAAGACTTTTTTGTGGCTCTTCATGGTGTTATCTGGCAGAATCTGAGCATGAGTAATCCAACTGTCACACTTTAACTGGAAGTACATTCAGAAATTGCATGTCAGTTGTATAAATGAAGCTAGCTAAAGTTCTGCAGTTGCTTCCAGGAAAATGACAGTGATTTTAATTGAATTGTCTTGTGTAATTATGGGGTGTGGTATAAATTACAAACCTACTTTGAAATGATCTTCTTTAAACTAGACTTACGCTTTAGGTTTGGATTGTAATGGACAATTTACACGGCTGGAGAAGGGAAATAGTTGAAATGCCACATCATTCTGCTGTTTTCTTAAGTGCAAATTTTTAAAAAGAGGATTGATAAGTAGAGAATAGTATGAATTGAGTTTGCTGCACTTGCTGTTGGAAGATTCAAAGGAGTACTGCAGGGTTATGAGTAATTATTAAGAAGCTGTTAGAGTACATAGATAAGCGATGCTTTACTGATTTGTTGGTATGTTTTGAATTGTTTGTAGTGTTAGAGTGACTTTAAATCTGCCTACTGTATTCTAAGGCTTTGTTCTTTCTCTTGCATATTACAAGTTGCCTGGCAGCGACATTACAAGTGGGAGTGATGTACTTTCTGATGTTATACCTAGTATTCCGAGCTCTCCTTGTCTGCTTCCGAAAAAGAAAAATAAGCATAGGAATCTTGATGAACTTCCATGGAGTGCAATGACAAATGATGAACAGGTGAAATTGACTTTTTTCCTATGTGAGAACTGTAACATACAGAAGAACTTTCAATTCTTAAAAGACTTACTGATTGCTGTAGGTGTAAATGTAGACCTGTGCAGCACTGCTTGATTCTTGAAACTAAATCTTCTTGTCTTTTGCATCTGTAGGAGGCAGTTTAATGTGTACTCAGGTTTTCACCCTGAGTTTTTGAGGATACTCAATGAGGCTAGAATCATAGGAAATGTGGTATATGAGCACATTTTATTCTGTTGGTCCTTCCTTTTTTCTGTCACTCATTTAGAATCAACAATACTTTAAAATGACATGCCTTTCTTTGGGTCCTAGGTTGAATATATTGAATATTTGAGTCGCAAAGTCAGTACAGAGATGGGCCTTCGAGAGCAACTTGATATCATTAAAATTATTGATCCTACTGCTCAGATCTCACCTACAGATAGTGAATTCATTATTGAATTGAACTGTCTCACAGATGAAAAACTGAAACAGGTGAGTTAAGGTTTGTACATATGACTTCGGCGTTTCAGCATCTGATATGTCTTGCAAAATCTCTTATGGAGTTGTGATCAAGTTTTATACAAAATCAATAGATGTAGGGAGATACATTAGAGCACAGTATTGTCAATGAGGGAAAATAGAGTTCAAAAGCATATTGTGTGTATTAAACCTTTATATGAAAGACTGTGGTTATATATTCTCAATATATGTTAAGCCTAAGCTGGCGTGTGTGTATTGAGTTGTGCTGTTGACCCACTACTGCTTATGACAAAGCGTATTCCACTTCACGACCATCAACTGGTTGAGGATCTTCATTTTCTCACTGAATATAAACTAGCATTTAAAACTCCAAAGGATTGGAATTCGTTGGGGAAGACCATAAATTTCATGTAAAAAGGGATATAGAAAAAGATGTTGCAAAATACAAATTATAACAAAGAAGGGTACCTGATTGGTATGGTAGATATATGCTACTGTCGTCTTAGTCTTTGTTCTATTGTGATGTGTTGTTGGGAAAAGATGCGGTATCCAAACAAGCGGGATTCCTCAGCGTTACTCTCTCTTTGTGATTATGATGAAGGTAAAGATTGAAAATGGAAAACATTCACTGCTTTTATGAGCTTGGCCTATTTCATATTTCAAACATTTTCTAACTATCATCTTAAAGTAGAAAAGTACTGCTTTCCTTACAGCCACTTTTGTTTGAGTACACCTAACAAAATAAAGGGTTTTGATACATTAGGTAAACAACTTAGTTCAGTTGAACTTGACTGATGTTCCTGTTTGGTGTTATAATAACTCATTGTTACGTAGTAGAAAACTTGGGGGACAGGAGGGGGGGAAAAAACCTCAAACCTTGTTACTTAGTTTTCTTCCTTCCATAACGAAGTTAATATTAACTTAGTTAAGTTCTCTTGGTGACTGCCAGATGGCTTGGGATTTAAGCAACCACAGCAAAATGTTTTAAAAGACTAACTGAACTGATCCAATAACTTGATCATTATTAATAGGCAAATTGTTTTTTCCATGAAAAGGAGTATCTCAGGCCAGTATTAGGCTTTAGTAATTCTGCTGCCTCTGTTCTAAAGGTGAGAAACTATATCAAGGAGCACGGACCTCGTCAACGGTCTGCAAGGGAAAGCTGGAAGAGGAGTAGCTACAGTTGTGCAAGTACCAGTGGTGTGAGCGGTGCCAGTGCCAGCAGCAGCAGTGCCAGCATGGTCAGCTCAGCCAGCAGCAGTGGTTCTAGTGTCGCTAACTCTGCTTCAAACTCGAGTGCCAACATGAGTCGAGCGCACAGCGATAGTAATTTGTCCACAAGTGCTGCAGAAAGAATCCGGGATTCAAAAGTAAAGTTTTTAATTCTGTACATGTGTATTAAGCTGTCTAACTTGTTAAGGTTGCTTATGGGGTCTTAACTGGGATATTTGTACTGAAGGAGCGTAGCTAGTAACAGAGGACCTGCTGAAGTTACCGGCTAAACCAATGCTGACTGTTTCCTCTGACATGACGATAAGGAATTTAAACTTGTGCTCTTCCTATCACTTCTAAGTGAAAGCCTGATGTTTCTATGTAGTAGATCTTCTCAATACTTCTGTTTAGATTAAGGTGAGTGGGGGTTGAATAAGGGCTTCTGCATCTAACTTAATTCTTTGAATGAACACACAGTTTTACCAAAAAAAATTTATTCAAGATTGATCAACCTAATCTAGGCATAATTTCTGGATAGTAAAGACTGTCTTGGTTGTGTTTTTTTTCCCAACTAGAAGTTTCATCAGGCTTTTTGAATCTTACTCAGTTTATTCTTCCAACATGTCTCATGAGATTTACTTGGTGAGGAGTGACCTATTGAAGCATGTTTCAATTAAAGTAGTACTGTGGCACTTGTCCTGTCTCCATAATTTCAATTTCAGGTGTGGAGGAGAGAAGTAGTTCCTGCTTGCTCTTCAACATCTCAGGTTGTTATTGTAAGACTGTAACATTTCCCCTGCAATAAAGATTCTTCTGATCAAAGACTCAGCTATGCAACATCACAGCGTGATGTTGTGCCTCATAACTCAGATGTGGTAAATGGTCTTGATATTTTAATATTAGATATGATTTTGGATGAACGTTTGCACCACCTCTGAGAATTCATTTTAGTTACTTTTCAGAGCAGACGTTATTTTAGAGGTTAACTTATATTTGCCAGCTTTAAAGGTGGTTTCTAATCTACAGAACAAAATCTTATTTTTTGTCTCTTCTGTATTTTGACAGAAACGTTCCAAGCAACGGAAACTACAGCAAAAGGCCTTACGCAAGAGACAGCTGAAAGAACAAAGACAAGCTCGTAAGGAAAGACTGAGTGGATTATTTCTTAATGAAGAAGTGCTCTCTTTAAAAGTGACTGAGGAGGACCATGAAGGAGATGTGGATGTTTTAATGTGACAGGGGTGAATTTATCAGTGTTCTTTCTAAGCCTTAAATGTATTATCTTTATTGTTTACATATATTTCTTGACCAAATTTTGATTAGTGTTAACAGTATAAACCAGATCTTTTCTCAAGTGTAATTTTGGTAAGAAGGTCTAAGTATTGAGGAACTTCAGCTTTTTGAGACTAATTTTGCAACAAAGACTTCAGAAACTTAACTGACTTGTGAAAAGCTGCTGAATAGATACAATTTTAAGGAAACTTGAACTTGGCTAACGTGCTAAGTTACTTGCAATACATAAGTCTAGGGATGCTTTTGGATGACACTAAGCATGCCTTACTATGCTTCAGCTTTTTTGTTTTTTCCAACTTAGAGTTAATATTACACTTGGCTTGTTCTGTCTTCCTTTCTCATTATTAGGAAGATTGTTTAGCATGAGGAAAAAATCTTTAGTTCTATAGGGCTCTCTTCAGTCTTGCTCTTGGATCATACAAAATTGAAGTACTGTGATAAATCCTTTTCTAGAAGTTGCGATTTAACTCAAACTACACAGAAAGCAAGAAGCAGGACTTCTAATGCAGGGAATCTGTAACACAAATAATGCTTAATAATGTAGTTCTTTAGGAAGCAATTAGAATTCAAAAAAACAACTTGCAAGCTTAGTCTTCAGAAAGTTATTTTGCTGCTCAATATCTTATAGTATGATTGTTACTGATGGCTGACCAGTACATCCCTAGTATTGCTATGAAAAGATTAAAATAACATCTTTATGCATTGAAAGTACACTAATCTGCAATTAAGTTGTCTAGGACACTACTTAGAATAGTTAAAAATGCTACTGGAAACAGAAGTGCAAACAAGTGGCACGCAACTTTGGTGGCTTTTTTCCCCAGAAGCGTATCTAAATAGATCATGTTGTTGGCAAGAGAACTTAATTAATGCACCTGTGCTTCTTAATTGTATGTTTAGCTGAGGATGTGTCTTCTGTGTGGGTTGTTACACCATTACATGTTTCAGAATTCTCCTTTTGTTGTCTATCTGCTTTTGAAATTTCTCTTGCTAAGAAAATGAGGTAAATTCGTGGCTTTCAGGTAGGGAGGCAAAAGAAATTTTAACCTGTTTCCTAATTCTGACAATCTGTAAGGTGACTTTTGTCTTTATCTTGGAACTACTTGTTACAGAACTCCTCCCCCCCCCAACTGAGATGAAAATGATACTTCTAAATTTCAACATGAAACTTAAAAGATTATAAAAGTACTTTCTAGTTCTGAGTTTAGGAAGTAATTTTTCATTACTTTGATTTTGCTCTTGTGAATTAAGGAGTTTGGCAGTTTAGTGTGACCACAGGTGCCTGTAATTGCAGGATATAGCCCAATCCTGCAGAATTGCACGATCAATTTTATATAGGACTATTTACATTCATTTTGCATGTCCTGCACAGACTTATTAGCCCTGACAGCCGAAGTATTTTTCTTTCGGAAGTGGTGTTTCTTGTAGCCTCAAAATAAACTGACCAGTAAAATATCTGAACAGTGGCCTCTAAAAGGGCTTTGATAAGAAATACATGAGGTCCGTAGTCAAACTAGTATGTGTGAACTTAGTCACTCTTACTGCTGCTAGACAACAGGTACCCAAACTTGGCCATTGACTGATTAAAAGCTATGTAATGTCATTTTAAACTTGACTGTTAGCTGTCCCATATGGCCAGTTATTTGGCCACTAACCAGAAGTGACTGTTACCTGTCAATATTTGTTTGCATTGCACTATAGCTGGTTGATGCCTCCCTTCCTCCTGTAGAAACAATACCAAAAACTTCTTAACAGAATACAAGTTACTGAGAATTCAGATTGACTTAAATTTGGAGCTTCTTTTAAATATCTTGGATGGAGGAAAAAAATTGAAGTGCTATCAATTCAGCTAATTTCAGGGTGCAGTTGTTGAACTCTTGCAATTTACCATGGCTGTAATGGATCAATTCTTCATGAAACGTTTCACTGTGTGTACACTGTCACAGTTCAGGAGAACCTTTATTTTTTGCAGTGATTTTGAAATGTGAGTATTTTTTTTCTCCCTGAAGAAAAATGCACACTTAATACTGTAGAGAATTGAGACTCTGAAATGAATTGTAAGAAAGGTGCAATATCTCAGCATGGTGGAGCAAGAAAGTGTGTCACTTTATTCTGTTTCAGCAACTCTTCAGAGTTTAAAATCCCTCAGGCTTTGTTGAGAGAAGACCTCCTCATTTTGATGAAGTACAGTTCTTTTTGGTCACCTGTCTACTAGCTTCCAGAGATCATGAAATGAGGGAGGATAGTATTTCCATCCTCATCTTAGTGTGGGCATGTCAATATAAATTAATGCAAGTGATTAGATAGCTCCAGTTGCTCATCTGTTACGTTGGATGAAAAGGTCCTGGGTGCCACAGTAGCTGATTGTGGTATGTCATCTCCAGCTGGGTACCTCAGTCACTGTGTGACAGTTACAACGATAGAAGAGAGTGGATTTCCAGGGGTTCCATGGTAATAATTTATAGCTCTGTAATCTTGTAGTCCCAGGATGCTTATCGCCTAAGAATACAAAATTCTGAAGGTTCTGCTAAGAATGCAGAATAACATCTTGCTTACCTGAATGTTGTCTTTGCCAAGTACTTGGCATCTCAGAGAATCAGGCCTGAAGTAGCTGTGGGATTTGAGAGTTCTCACATACTTCCACGTGTTTGGGTTTTTTCCCTTTTCTCTTCACATCCTTCTCAGAACTAATGACACGCTCATTTTGTGGAGGGGGGAGGTGTTTTTATCAGATTCTTGTCTTTCCCTGCAATATGCTGTATGCTTACCCAGGTAAGTGGTTGAGTCACCGTCCCTGGAGGTATTTAAAAGACATACAGACATGGTGCTTGGGGACATGGTTTAGTGGTGGACTTGGCAGTGCTAGGTTTACAGTTGGACTCGATGATCTTAAAGGTCTTTTCCAACCTAAATGATTCTATGATTCTATGAATTTGTATTGGATACCCGTGGCATTAGTCAAACAGTTGGAATTTTACTTAAACCTGGTCTTGCTGATTCAAGTGTTGGCCATTGTGGCTACGGCTTTGTTTTACAGGAAGTTATCTACAGATTATTAGGTTCAGATAGATAAGGAAGAGTAACAGACTGCTAAAATCATGCATTCTTATTAGTGCTTTTTCAAAAAAGAATCAAATGTCTGCTTTTTATTCATAGATAAAAAATGTCAAGCTTAAAAGCAAAACAGAGACAAACAGGAAAAAGCTCATAGTTGTATGGCTCCATGGTACTGAGCTGTATATCTAGGTGCTTTGTACCTACTGTAATATGAATGTAATCAATTTACGCTCTGTAACATTAACGGTTTGCTTCCATGGTAACGTTTTCTCTAAAAAGGCTTAGAAGGAGCACTGAAAGTCTGATTGCAATAGGACTGTAAACAATAGAGAACATTCTTTTCTAATATGATTTTAAATATGAGGAAGAAAGCTAGCTGCCTGACAAACCTGTCTAACTTTTGTGTGTGTATCTAATGTCATCCTTTGTCTCTGTTAAGATATTATCTATTTTTCTTTATCTGGGAAACTGATTAAAAGATGGTTATAGTATGCTCAGTATGGGGTGCTTACTAAGAAGAGCAAGAAAAGTCTTTGCAAGACTTTCCTGGGCTTAACTCATAGTTCTCATATTGTGGTTTGAAACCTGTGAAGATCATTCTCTGGGGAAAAAACAAACCAACCAACCTGCTTGAACTTACTCATATGCATTTACATCAGAGTGCATATACAATACAGAAACATAAAAATGGCAGTATTTACTGTTCATCTACGCTGAATGGCCTGAAGCCATCTGTTTTCTCCTAACGCTCTTTTAGCTTTGAAATCAGTTGATGCATTGGTCTACAAATATTAATAAACCTGACTGTTTTGGGGGGCTCTTGAAGTTCATTCTTACAAGCCAGATTTTCATGGCAAATGTAGTTAGATTTATTGGTTTAATGCTCTTTAGCGTACTGATCTTGCAGTTCTTGGGCATAGAAAAGACAAGTCAACATGCAATTTCCCATTTAAGGATTGCAAAGATAGTTTATTCATCTACCAAGGGCAAATCCTAGTAATATTCAAAGCTTGTCTATTTTGACTGTTAACTCTGAATCATACGTGCATTCTCTCTCATCTGCCTAACTTTTAAACATTTCCAAATTACAAATAAATTCTTCAATGAAAAAAAAAATTGTAATGTTGAAGCCTTGAATATAGTTCATAACCAAAGCAAGGGGAAAGTGGGGTTTTGTGATTGATTTTTTTTTTTTTTTCCTCCTTTTTTGGGGGAGAGATGGGGGTATAGATTAGAGTATATGGTACTGCTTAAATTAAGGGTTTTTTCCCCCAGGTTCTCTGCTAATTCTATTGCTAAAATGCACTTTTGTATAGAAAACTGTCCTCTGTACATTCTGTATCTACTTTCCACAATGTTTATAGAGATTTTTCTGAAGTTGTGAAGGATTTACTGAAAGCTGCAATGCTGGTGACTGATGCTGTTCACTTCAAGTTTTCATTGTATCTGAAAATAGTTATGTGCATATTGAAGTACAGGTTGGAATTAAAATTGATGACATACCACATAGTTTCATCAGAATATCTTTGCTATCTTCTTCAGAGCAGAGGGATTCGTATATAGGGCTTGCTTACTCACTGTTCATGCAGAAAGTACAAATAAAGTGGCACATGTTAACTGTTCTTTGTGACAGAAAGCAAACCAGTCCCTCCTTAACTAGTGTTGTTTGTTATCCACAAAATCTGATCAGAATTGTTTCATAGGAAAACAATTACTTGTAAATGATATAACCCAAGATCGTGTACTGAAAGCTGTCTGTCCTTAGTTTTGATTTCTGTGCCAGGGGATTTTTTAATATATATGCTATGTACTATATAGCTATGGGCATAGGAAGTCTAATCACTTTTGTTGCCAGCAATAACTCTGAATCTTCTTCTGCTGTCACCCTCAGTACCCATAGCTGTCAAACCACCACCTATCATGTGACGTTTAAAATCCCTAATAGGACTTACAAGCTGACAACCTACCACATTCTTACAGCTCATCATGCAGGCACCTGTGTGTCACTGTTGTAAATCCAGATCTCGTTTGCTACAGCAGAAGCAGGTATGCTCGGGGATTCTGGAAGCTGCAGCGATGCACACCAAGACATGCCGCACCAGCAAGGACACGGCAGCGACGATGGCTTTGCAATCACCAGCGTTTGAGTAGGCGACAGTGAGGACACTTGCCAGCCTGTATATTCTGTATTGCCCCTGAACCAAATTTGCCTTCTGCAATACTGAAGTTTCAAGTGTAATATTATGAACATTCCTTTTCCCCCTTGGAATCCAGGAGAAAAAATCTGAAAACCTGAGAAGAGAATAGCTGGCATAAGGATGTATTCTTCAGCGTTCAGAAAGTCTCCTGCAGCATCTCAGGGATATAAACTGCCTTGTTCGTCCCAGCTAAGGCTCATCAAACACTTGTGGAAGTTGATTCTCATCAAATACTTACAGCAGTTAAAATTGACCAAATGTTACCATCCCACCCTGTTTCTGTAGATACTGAAGGATGGAGAGGGACAGATGAGGGCAGAAACACTGCATGTCACAGCAAGTCTTGTCAAACTGTCAGAGACCTTTAATTGTTGTGAAGTCTGCGACTGAGAGGCAGCAGAATGTAACCGCAGAAGCTATTGCTCTTGTGGTGCTTTGCCTTCGCTTCACCACCCTGCTTGTGTTTTTGTCTGTTTTCACCCAAAGGTGAGAGTGATGGTGCAGAGTGTTTTGCAGCAAAACCAATTGAAATGTTGCCAAGGACCTTGACCCGTTGTGGTGGTCGCTTGTAGTAAGGACTTACTGCTTACTGGATAGCGCTAGAAGCTGCAGGGAAGTTGATGCTTATGCTTTCTGAACCACAGGATCTCAGTGAGTGGGTCTGCTGTGCTTTGGACTTCTGAACTTTCCCAGTAACTCCCGTTGCAGCAGTTCATTACCGAGATAACAAGTTGCACGGATGAGTTGTTATACCTCCTGGCAAACAGCTGCCTATCTGTCAAGTGAGGTCATGCGGTCACAGCTAAACACTGCATGTATAGATCTCTTATTATCCCTCCCTAAACACTTCTTCATTTATCTCTCAAGCATATTAAGTTTCACTGCAATGAGAAAGTCTCATTTGATGGCCAAACACTATTTGGGCACAAGCTGAAGCAAAACTTCCACACTGGCAAAACAAATTGATAAACTTCCTTTACTAAATTGATGGGGAAAGATGGCATTGGCTATGACTTTGCTGTCCTCTGTTCTCTCTACTACTGGCCTGAACTGTACTCTTGATCCAAACATTTCCCAGTTACAATTTGGTTTCCTGAGATCCCTTGTAGGTGCTCCTAAGTATCCTGTGTCCTACCACGTGGAAAACATTTTTTCCACCTCCTTCCAGAACATTCATCTCTTGTAAATGGTTTCTCTGGTGCTGAGATCGAATTTAAATTCAAATCCGCATTTCTGATCAGAGACCTCATTTCATGCTCTTTTCTACATGCTGCAGTGGCTTGCACTTGGCAGCATCACTGGTGAAAAAAGTTGGTTCTCATAATGTAGACCATATTCCTGAGGCTTACGTGTGAGAATTCATCTTGGCTGTAGAGTCTTTCTAATACTACTTCAGTTGAAGTACCTGCTGTATTGCTACAAAGTTTGTCGAAGAAAGATTTATTGCTGTAGCTGAAATTTAGAGTTTGACCACCAATTTGCTGTCATGTTAACGGGAGGCGAGTAACTCACCCATGTGTATTGCCACTAGAGGGAGCACTGTAGTCATCTTACTCGCCTTTGCGACTACAGCTGCCAACGTCGCTTTGCTCCTAACGCTTTCCTTTATTCTGTTACGTCCTATTAAAAAAATATTAGGGGGAATTTGCTTCTCCTCTTATGCTGTTTTTGAAGGAGGAATCTGTCTGTTAAGAGTTAGTTTTACAATAATAACATTTCCAATGACTAAGCAAAAATTTGCTTTTTCTAAGCAAATTTTTTCTAAGAAAAAATGCTTTTTCTGTTTGTGGTGATTGCGAATTCCTGCCTGGTACTGCTTATTGCAGTCGGAAGATGGATGTATATTCCTGTTCAGTGTTAGCTTTTGCATGCGTACTGTATTGCTGCTTTAAATTTCCTGGTCTCTGTTTCAAATTCAGCCTTCCTCAATGTGGGCTGAAAATTTTGCAGTTGAAAATACTAGATGATGATAGAAAACAAGCAGTCAGCTTTTAATGTGCTAAGTCTCATAACGTAGATACCTGTCTGTCCCTGGGAGGCAGGGCGAGAAGGTGTGGCTTGACTAGCTTTATTTTTTGAGTAATAACTTCTGAATAGGGCTTTGGGGCTTCCTTTGGAGCAAAGGAAAATACTGCTTCAATGGGAGCTGTTCTGTAGTTAAGTCTTCCCCCCCTCCCCCTTTCTACTTGTCTGACAATTATTGCTACCTTTAAAAAAGCGTATAACGTGTATTATAACTGCAGAGAACGTGTGAGGAGTTTTCCCTGGAATCTCAGGTTCATTCTTGGAAGTCAAGGTTTTAATGGTCCTGTGTGGAATTAGGAAGGCTTTGAGCACTTGATTGTGATTGTGCAGATACGCTCGTGACTCATCGTCTTCTATCTCTCTGTCAGCAGCTGTCACAAAACCAAAATGCAAAAAGAAATACAAGTTCTAGTCATCAAGTGAAATACTTATTTAGACAGATCTTTGCCTAGTGTATGGCTTATGAGGTCTTTGGTTTAAAATTGTCACGTTACTATAGTAGAGAGATACTTTCTCATGTTCAGCTGGGACACTGCTGT